AGTCGCAGTATCTTAGTTGAGCAATTAATTAGATGCATGCGTGTGTTTTTGAAAATTTAAATATACAAATCTTATTTTAATCTTGCATTCAATTCATATTTGTTTGAATCAATTCAATCGATACATTTAAGGTTTTTGCAAAAATGAGAACGTGAAAAGTGAAAAAATTAGATATTTTTTCTTTTAATTTATGTTTTGGCGTTACCGATTTTTGCCTATTCACTACGAAAACATGCTTGTGGTTTCCAATGAAAAAGAGTTGAAGCGAGAAATTATGATGGAAATTACATTGATGCATGTAAGGTGTTTTGCTCAATGAAAATGTGAATTATGTCACTTTTCTATAAAAAATCGCATTCTGTTACTTTCTTCTAAAAAACAGTTAAAATATCTTATTGGAGCAATAAACTAGATGCATATGTGTGCATTTTTGAAAATTTAATATATGAATTCAAACCTTATTTTATATTAATACATATGAAAATCTGCGACCTTTTCTATGTGTGTGTTTGGAAATTTAAATATACTAATTGAAATTTTCTTTAAATCTTGCATTCAATTCATATTTATTTGAAGAAATTCAATTGATGTATCGAAGGAGCTGCGAAAATGAGAGTGTGAAAAAAGTGATATTCTGTTACTTTTCTATGAAAAAGTCGCAGTATTTAATTGAAGCAATTAACTAGATACATACATGTGTATTTTTAAAAATTAAAACATACGAATTCAAACATTATTTTAATCTTGCATTCAATTCATATATTTTTTAATCAATTCAATTGATGCATCCAAGGTCTTTGCGAAAATGAAAATGTGAAAAAGTGACAATCTGAAAAAGTCGCAGTATCTTAGTTGAGCAATTAATTAGATGCATGCGTGTGTTTTTGAAAATTTAAATATACGAATTCAAATCTTATTTTAATCTTGCATTCAATTCATATTTGTTTGAATCAATTCAATCGATACATTTAAGGTTTTTGCAAAAAAGAGAACGTGAAAAGTGAAAAAATTAGATATTTTTTCTTTTAATTTATGTTTTGGCATTACCAATTTTGGCCTATTTACGGGCTATTTTATTCATTCGTCAATTGAGATTTTTGTTATCATTTTGAAGTAATCATGACAAACTTTGAAATACATATTTCGAATTTAAAAATTGATAAACGATAAGTTCATAATAACAAATCGAAAATGCCGCAAGAAATAAAGTTCATAGTTACGGTTTATTTTGCGTTCAATAATTCATACAAAATAATTTTTGATATTTAAACTTCATCCATAACATATTTATCATGGCTACATTGTAAGCTTTCTAACAAATTTTAAATCGCTCAAAATGGATAATCGCAGCAGAAAATACAGTATCAAATGAAAAAATTTTAAAAAGTGAAAAATATCATATGAGAAGTGCCGCCATTAGTCCTTGGAACGATTTTGTTGACTTTCAAGCGTTTTATATTTTTAGTGGACGTAATAATTACGGTTATTAACACTTTAATTTGATTTAAGTGTATTAATCAATTTCTTTTTCTTGTTAGGGTACTGTATCTAATTTCCTCTTTTTATTTTTTGTAATTTGGTCCATTGTTAAAACATAAAAATCAAATTAATAACACGATAAATTACAATTTCTTCGCAAGTAATAATTCTCTTTAACAAATAGATAAATTCAAGAAATATTCCGATCGTTATTAATAAAAAAGTTCAATATTTTTTTTTTGTCGAATTAATATTCATGATAAAAGAT